GAGAACAAGAACTGGTGAAAGGTTTACATAGCAAATGAGGATGTTTGTGTTTGCATATAGACACAACTGACATTCACATATGCTCAGTTTATGTCTAATCAAAATGGTCCCGAATGGCAGCCTCTTCCTGTGTTTATTTGTACCAGAAAATCCCCACTGACTTAAGCAACTTCAACAAAGCTTTTTCCGCCTCTTGACTCATACACAAAAAATATCTACTTTGGAGTAGGTTTTTTTTTAAACAACTTTGTTTATATCAGGGGAATTAATTAATGCATTTTATTGTGCATAGGCAGACTATAAAGACTGTCTGGCTTCAACACAAACGAAAAACTTCAAGTGTATTTTCCTTGTAAAAACATGAGGTCTGGATCACAGCAAAATGCTATTAGATGGTCAGCTCTGGTGAAAGAATTTACACGTTCCACAGACCCACTACATAAGGCATACTGTATGTAAATGTCACTTTTTTACAACAGTTGGAGGCCAGTTTTTAAAGATTTGCATCTGTTTGCATGATAGAGGAAACACAATTAAATGAGGGGCAGAAGAAATGGTCGAGCGAACCGGGCTGTGCCCTCGCTCGAGTTTGAGTTTAATGCTGTAGATGCAATCTGATCTGAATTTGAATGCTTTGACTCTGAGGCTTTGAGTCTTGTTGGATAAGAAAAGGCGGGACAACAGACATGCAGTCTGAGCAGCTGGAGACCGGAGACCAGCGGGGAGAGTCAGGTAGCTCGCCTGACAGAAAAACAGTGGACAGCATGGAAGCAATGGAAAAGAAACATATCCAACATTTACATATGCTCTTACCATTTTCCCTTATTAGGAGCTCAAAGTGAGGTCGCTGCCCCGCACAGCTGCACATGAAACAGTGTGGCAGAAATGCTGGACTTTGACAAAGGCGAGCTATTTCTAGGCTTCCCATAAATCTCTGGCAGCAACTACAGCGCTAGACACTATGTTGGGCATTTCTCTTTTTTAACATGGGCTCTGTTGTAGCAGGTTTTTTTCTAAACGCCATGGATTTCCTCTCTCTCTAATACACAAACACGCAGGAAGAGCAAAACAAATCATGACCTCAAGCTAACCTTCACTTTCGAGAAAAGACATCGACCATTTTCCAAACTGTGCCTTTCTGCTACTGCTCATTTACGATTACGACACTTCATTCTGAATGTTCCTTCTGCAAGACTTTCCAGGTAAAAATGAGTCTAGTCTACCACGCAGCCGGCGTATGAAAGCGTCATATAGCACAGCTTGACACTATATTCAAAACTCAGAAAATAATTTCAGGAATAGCTCTACAACACTTCATGTCTTTTGTGCAGTTATATGACGAGATATGTGCCACTCTCATCTCTGTGTGATTAATATGTAGCTGTCAGCAGCCGGTCAGTTTAGCTTAGCATAGAGACTGGAAACAGCTAGCCTGGCTCTGTCCAAAATTACTAAAACCTCTATGTAACACATTATATTTCATTTGTTTAATCTGTACAAATATTTAAGGTTTTTTGGGGGGGGTTTTGTGCTGGATTATTTCTTGGTTGAGACTTCCTGTAGTCTCAGCTGGTTGCTGTTTCAGGCGAAGAAATATACCAGCACACAGTTTTACACATCATTTCTGTATTAAACAAACATATCGATATAATGTGTTAATAAGGGAGCTTTACAGAGGCTTGTAGTGGGATTTGTTTGCACAAACTGGCTCTATCCAGTCTTTATGCTAAGACAAAACTAAGAATTAAACTAAGACAAACAGCTTCTGGTTCCATTTTCATATTTAATGGAAAGTGGTATGTATTTTCTCATTTAACTAAAAGTAATAAAGCATATTTCCCTAAGTGCTGAACTATTTCTTTAACACCCCAGTCTAAACGTCCTTGTGACAAAAGGAAAGCAGCTAGCTACCGAGCAGCTAGCAAAGTCTACTGTAAAGCAAACCCTCACTCTACATTCAGAAGCCTTAACAACTGATTGTCTGAATTAGAAAGGTGTGAAGGGTTTCTTTTGTACTTGCGAAATAACATTATCCATTAAGGCTGTGTCTTGAACTGTTAGCGAGAAGTGAAAATGTCATTTTGAGGTGTTATTTTGCATTATATGGACCACCAGTAACACCTCAGAGCAGAGAAATGCAACAGGTTTCAGCAGGCGATGCAAGGCTTTCAAAAGGTGTTTTTAGTGTGTGAAGTGAAGCCAAATGGGGTCTTAAATTTTATTTTTATTTTTTAAGTAGTAAAATAGGAAGAAGGGGTTCATGAACTGTCACCCCCGTCCCAAAAGTAGGCAGCAACTTTAGGATAATTTTCCATAAACATGCCATCAGTCAGTGACAAACAGCAGCCAAACGAGTAGCGAGTAAAGGAGACAACACAAGCAGCAGTAAATCTAAAGCAGGCTATCATGACAAAAGCAGGAGTGACTGACTTCCTTTCTACAGGCGCATTAACGTCACAGGAAAAATCACCCAGAGCTAGGAGTGCTGGACAGAACATACTGAATACAGAAAGCCCCTCCACCACCACCACCATGTCCTCCAGGCAGTGAGACGACTGGGTGCGTCCGGACAGGGCATGCTGTTCTTAAGGTTTGCCTGTGGCCTGAGGGAAGAAGCAGTGACGGAGCAAATCCCCACTGTGGGAAAAAAAGAAAGAAGAGACAGAGCAGAGTCATGCTGTCATGTCTTTGTGTGTTAAGTAATCAGAGGCAGCACGCTGAGAGATTGTCACAGTATCACTGCAGGGGGTTAACTGCCACTTGGCTGCCAGTTTCAACCTGGTTATCACTTGGGTGGGCCTCGGGGTAGAGAGGGAAGGCAGAACAAGATGAGTCAGGCAGCACCAACAGCAGACACCAACTGGAAATCACTTAAAGGGGGCAAAAAACGGATCCCAGACGAGCAGGTGTGACGGAGCTAAAATGAGAACAATTCTGTTGATGTGGGGAGAAAGAAAATAACTATTTATAGAGGCAAAAAAGACCACCAGGAAAAAGCCATCTCTCAATAAAACGCCGTCACTACATATAAAATCTTCCATCGGATGGTGAGTAAGTTGTTGATTATGTTAAGTGTTGGTTGCACGTCACTCTGTAGTCACAGTCCCCCTCCTGTGTGTCAGTTCCTACCAGTGACTTCATCTGTGTTTTTCTCAAGGATATCCCTCTCCTTTCTAGGCACAATGAGGCAGCTTCCTGTTTAGAGAAGGCCCAGTCCGGCCTTCACTCGCCCGCCCTCGCCTTACGTAATTTCTCTCGTCGTTTCTGCCAGTGTCCCGACAATGTCACATTAGTGGTTTGAGATGATTCTAACTTTACTACTACTACTACGATGGTGGTAGTCTCAGTGAGCAAACAATATATTAATAGCGCTGAATAGAACAGAGACGGTGTCATTCCATTCAGATATGATTACTGGTGCGTCCTGGGGAACGTCGTGCTACATTTGGGGGGCCGAGGTAAAACAATTCAAAATAAAAAGTAAGAGCTTTCAGTTTCAGGAGATATGTGTAACGCAGTTTGAGACACTGGTTGAAGTGGCAACACGAGAATGTAGAGCTACAACTAATAATTATCTTTACCATCAGAAAATCTGAAGATAATTACCGTTTAAAAATGTGTCCAAATAGTGAAAAACGCCCCTCTCAATATCCCTGAACCCAGTGACATCTATAAATTATTTGAAACAGAATGTGAGTTTCTATCTGTTTTTATGTGAACCTGGAAATTACACATAAACACACATATATACATACATATATAGCTGATATATGCTCATGAAAAGTAGGTATCTAAAGATGACAGCTAAAGAAATAATGGATTAGGTGATAAGACTTCTGCTGTCCAGCTGTGTTTGCTATTGTGATTGTAATGAGATATAAAGGGTAATTAAACTAATTTAATCCCAGTCCCCCAATCTTAATTTCTTTAGCACTTTTTACAACACAAATACTCCAATCAACAATACCGCAAGATTTTTTACTTAACTGTTTGAGCCTCACTGTGCAGAATGATGTATGTTTGACAATAAAAGCCTGTTTTAATCTGCTGAAAGTTTCTCTGAGCTCAACTCAAATATGTGTGTGAGACGTGAACGTACAAGTATTATTTTCACAACCAGTGTGGTTCGATATGAAACTTAGAGAGGAGTGAAGTGCGATGTGAGAACATGAAGCCTCCAGTGCACATGTAGGAGACATCTTGTGCCCAGCTGTTTAACTTTTAAAAATAAAAAGATTAGCATTTTCATAGATTCTGGAGTTTTTCAAAGAGGGAAAAGGGGTCATTTTTTAGAATATGAGGTGAGGTAATTGATCTTTTTGTGCACAAATTATCATTAAAAGCAGAGTATTTTCCAAGAGCCTTAAACGTGTCTTTAGGGGGCTCTTTAAGGGGGGAAAAAGGACCTCTAAATGACATGTCTGCCAGAAAAAAGTGTTGTTTTTTTTCATCTGTGAGCTAAAAGATAATTACAGATGAAGCCTATCTGAGTATGTTATTTTCTGAAATCTGGGGTTTCTGGACTGCAAAACAGACCCAGCCACACCAGTCTCCCAAATTACTATTTTTCCACTGACAAATTAACTGTGGTTTTTAGTTTTTAAGTTTACTTCTAAGTGTCATGTTTGTCTTTTATTAACTGTGGGAGAGAGAAAGAGAGAGAGAGAGATTTCCACGTAATCTGACAAACCAGAAGAGCAACATAGAGCTGCAGTGATCGACAGCCATAATTACACACAAAAGCATATTGAATACAAACAGGAGCGAAAAAATCACTTGGCAACGTTTTGCAGAAACCTGGTTGTACCTGGGGGCAAACTGATAGGGTGGCAATATCACTTTCTTCCTTCTTCTTTTGAAATAACAAACACATTAGATGTCACCGAGCTCTAATTCCTCCTGAGGGCAAATCAGAAAAAAGAAAGGAAAAAAACCCTCAAGGGGTCAGACGGAGGAGGGAGTAAAATCGTTGAAGGGCACAAACATTATAGACCAACCCACTGCATGTTGAGTCCTGCCCTGCTCTTTTCCCACATCATACTCACATGTCGCTGTGGAGCGGTGAGAGACTGAGTGCGCGTCCTCCCCCTGTCCTCCTCCGGCCGTGGGATCCCTTCTGTCGTTGAGGTTTCACTGGATATTTACACGCTTTTACAGGTGCGTGAAAGAGTTTGTTAAAGTCTCGTTTTTAACCGTGTTGTTCTGATATGATGCCTAAAAGAGGCGTGAAATGCGTCTGTGCGGCTGGGTGATTCATTTATGGTGACTTTACTCTGTGCGAGTGGTCATTTTTAACTCTCAGTAGCTGGGACTTGTAGACTTTGGACGTTATTAATGAATACAAACCTTTTTTTTTTTTTACTGTATGCCTCTATGTAGAAACTATTAATCAATAAGATCAGTCTTTACAATTGTCTGTAACAGTTTAATTTGCCGGTTTGGATACTTTCATGCGTATTTACGCATAAATTAAAAAACTATATAATGACAATAAAGCTTAAGAGTTAGTTTCTAGTTGTTTTCCTTTTTCCCAGACGTGGGTTTAAATCATGACTGGCAGGAAAACACTCCCATTAACGTCAATGTATTTTTAAAAAGAAAGTTAAATTAAAACTTTTTAATCCCACTGAAGCCATAACCCTTTTTTCCCTACAGGTTATTACTGCATGTTCCGCACTGGAGGCTCTCCCCCTCATTAACCATGCAGATATGATCGCTATTATGTCCAATAATCATGTATTCTGGATATTGTAGAGGGTTTCTAAATTAATGCAATATTCCATTTCCTATCGTTAATAATCGCGTTTGGTAACTTTATCTCCCTCTTCTTCACTGCAGACTGGCTCTCATCGCCTCCTAGTGCGCAGCCCGGGCATTGAAAACGTCTGATTTTTGGTGGAAAATTTCTCAAACCACAGGAAATCCTACTTGATAGCTTCAAAAGGAGCACTTTTTGCCTCTACATACAACAGCTGACTGCCTCTGTCTTTTTAAAAAAACAAAAAAAACAAAGAAGGAAATGCACAACCAGAGGACTATATGACACCTTCTCTGTGGATCTAATCATCAACTCAGAAAAGAAAAAGGCATCTACCCTCTGGAAGCTCCAAATAATGGCCACAGAGACTTTCCACGCTGCCTATGCTGCTGAGCACCCGTCAGCAATGCCCGTGTCCCCTTCCGAAGGGAATCTGCTTCGGATGTTTCGCGCGTACCAGAGCAATGAAGTCATCATTGAGCATTACAACTACACAGGCAAACTGAAGGAGAACAAATACAAGGAAGGACTCAAACCAGAGGCCATAGCTTTCCTGCTCGTGTGCCTGCTTATAGTTGTAGAAAACGCAGTGGTGCTTGTGGCGATCTGGAAGAATAAGAAGTTCCATCTGCCCATGTACTACTTACTGGGCAACCTGACTCTATCTGACCTGCTCGCAGGCTTCACTTACATGGTAAACATCATCATGTCTGGTGCCAACACATTATACATGACCCCGGTGCTGTGGTTCCTGAGGGAGGGGGGTGTGTTCATCATGCTTGCCGCCTCCGTCATCAGCCTGCTGGCCATTGCCATTGAGCGCCACGTGACCATGGTGAGAATGAAGCCGTACCAGGGGGACAAACAGGGGCGAATGTTTGCTCTGATTGGAGCGAGCTGGGTGCTGTCTGTGTTCTTGGGCATCCTGCCGGTCCTGGGCTGGAACTGCATGGGGCAGCTGGACCAGTGCTCCACAGTCCTCCCGCTCTACGCCAAGAGTTACATCCTCTTCTGTATCACCATCTTCAGCGCCATCCTCATGTCCATCGTGGTGCTGTACGTCCGCATCTTCCGCATTGTCAAGTCCAACACCCAGCGCCTTGGCTCAGTCCCACAGCGCAAAGGCCTCTACCGCAAGTCCCAGAAGTACATGGCCCTGCTGAAAACGGTCACCATAGTCCTTGGGGTCTTCATCGCGTGTTGGCTGCCCCTCTTCATCCTCCTCCTGCTGGACTTCTTCTGTCCAGCCAAAAGGTGTGAGGTGCTCCTGAAAGCGGACTATTTCCTGGGCATCGCTATGTTCAATTCCCTTCTTAACCCCATTATCTACACCCTGACCAGCAAGGACATGAGGAGGGCCATCCTCAGGCTGCTCTGCCGACCCTGCCTCTTAACTAAAGACGGACAGGTGAAGAAGATTGGGATGGCCTTCCTGGAGTGCAGCACGAGTAAGACTGATGCGGCCTCTCACAGACTGGAGGGACTGGAGACGACAGTATCCTCTGGTAACTTAACACCCTCTACTATCAAGGCCATTTACCCCAGGATGTCGAAAACATGACACGGTGGCTCACTTAACACTGAGAGCATTCAGACTCGGACTACTGTCACAGCCAGGCTGCTTCTCTCCAGTCTGAGTTGCATAAGTGTAAACATGTATGACAGGAGCTGAAGATTTGTGTTGCACTAAAAGTTAAGGTATTAATCTTCATGGAATAGAGCAAGCTCTATGTATGTGATAGATGTCCAAACTGGGAGAAAGACATTCACTTTTTCAACTTTATGTACATGTTTTCCATTACAGCTCAATCATGAAAAACAGGAAATGTCAATGCATTAATAGTAGCTGGCAGTTTCTTGTGAAAAACCGCATTACATTTGTCTTTTAGACATTAAAAACAAGGCCAGTATTTGTCAAGGGACTCCCCTTCTGGAGTTTGATTTTTTTATTAGTGTTTGCTTTTGCACCTAAAATGAAATCAAAGACTGTGTGCAGACGCTTCACATAAATACTTCCAATCATGCTGCACATCTGCTACACCGTGGCCAAAGCCCAAACATGAGATTTATCCTTATCTCCTCTCCCTGTGTAGCATATAATGATATGTTGTTACAAACACAGAGCATCCACACCCAAACTCGGCTGCCAAAACCATGTAATTTCTGCCATGTGAGTTTTGGTCAGCAGTAATTCTGGGCAGAGGTCCTCTCGGCCGAGATCAGAGGCTCAGCGGGCTGGAGACGCACTAAACACGTCATATGGAGGGTTGGTGCTGAGCGGTTTGCAGCTTTGGAGGTCCCTTCGACATATGTAGCGACACATGATGAATGACTAAAAGCAATAAAGCTGACAGTGGAGGTTTGTTGACGCCTTTTTGGTCCAAAGAAGTAGAACATCACAGAGATATGATACAGTAAAGCTTGTGGACAATAAGAACAAAAGACAGAAGAGTCTTTTTCTTTTTGGAGAACATTCATCATGAAATTATATTAATACATTTTTCTTGTGAGAAAGCGCAGCTCTAATCTTGTCCCACACGGCAGAAATCTGTTAAACCCACACACAAAGAGTGTTTGGGCTTCAAAGTGAGGGGGAATTTCATTGTAGTCATAATGACACAAAACCAAATATTATTGTACATAAATGTAAAGAGAAAAATTTATTTACTGACTTTTTTTTAGTATTCTTTGTAAATATCTGTAGCCTTTTCTAATCTCATCAGAACTGCATTTTGTATTGTAAAAACCCCACTTAAGTTATGATGCCAGTTTTATATCTGCACTGAATAAAACATATGTGAATGATGTTTACATGGTGGTTTGAAAATTCATTTCATCCTGAAATTTTCTTTCTCAGACAGGTCTCAATAATTTGTCTGAAAGTTCTCATCTCTCACTGCCCAACATCCTTCCCATTTGTATATACACACACACACATACTGTATGTATAGCACTCAATATTGTGATATTGCTATAAGATGATATAACCAGAAATAAAATCTAATATAAATTAAAATATATTGTGCTATTTTTTATATTATGCTATATGCTGTTGAATTTTTTTTCTGTGATTTTTATACAATTTTGATATTATCTCATTAAATGTGAATAATTTGTTATAAATACTGAAACAATGAACTATTGGGAGATGTGAATCTCTTTTGCTTTAACAAAAATTAATTATTCCTTTTGCCCCAAATGAATACACAAATTTGGGTTTATAAAACACAGATTGACCAGAAAAACAGAAACAAATGTCCTTGTAATAAATTAAACCTTGCTGACACTGTACAACAGAGGTCTTAACACCTCGCTAACTTCTGACATCATAGTTAAGGATGATGCATTAGATCCAATCCATTATCACTTACTCCCAAGTGAGCTGATGTTTAGTTATAAAAGTACACTAGTTAGTAGTACCAAGTTAAGCATTAACAGGTGAGTAAAATGAGTGTGCCACTTGTTGAGCGTTAACACGAGGCTTCAACAAGGCAGCGATAAAAGGAAAAATAAAGACAAGCACATAGAACCCCTTCTCCATTTAAACCACCTGTTAACCACTTGATATGATATGTGCCTGTGGCTGAGGTACAGATGAAGTTGCAGAAACAAGGCAGTGTTAGCTGTCAGCTGCTGTTTACCGTAAGGAAACCACATTTTGGTGCTTGATTCTTCCAAGTTATGGTACGTGTGAGTATGAGCCTCTTCAACAACCGTACGTCACCCTGCCCACTCTTAACCACTCGCCATGCTTCAGTGGTACGCAACCATGGCGTGAAGTCTTTTTCAAAGAAGGTATAACTTTCGGTTCACAGTAGAGCAGACGGGTAAATAATAACACATCACACACTACGTGGGTGTTGTCAGTGTTTCCTGGTTTAGATTCCAGCATCCTGTTCTATAATGCCAATGTTTTTTGCTAACTCATCACTATCATGCCTGAATTTGGACAAATTACAGAGATGAATTTAATTGTTTTGTATGGTGCAGTGACATTTATTGATGCCTATGGCAATAATGTATTGGCACAGGTTGATATCTACATACATCAGTGCTTAAAGAATAACGCCAAATAAAATGTAAGTATTAACAATATTACTGTACAAAACAGTAACACTCATTATAGTCATTACAGGTTTTAGCAGACTGGGGGATTGTTGAGGTCTAAAATCCCTGATTTCACTGAATTGTTAGGCAATTAAATAGCGAAAGAACATGAAAATGACAAGAATAGTGTTTTGTATAGTTCATTAAAAGGTCAAAGGCAATTTGTTCCAGTGAGAATAAAAGCACCAGTAGTTTGGTGACATTCAGCTCATTGTTATGATTGGTGAAACTCGTGGGAAAATTAGGTCAAATTAGCAGAAAAGTTACAGTGACTGGACAAAAATTGCAAAATGGTCGTGCAGAATTCATAGGGATTGGTATATCTGCATGAATTGTTGCACTGCAACTTGCTGGAGGGACTGACATCTGTCAATGTGAGCCAGGCTTACATTGCCAAAACCAGATTCAGTGACAATGGGGGGCACATGAAAAGCTCAACTAATCAGCTAACTCAGCTAAATTGTATTTTGAATAAAAAAAATATTTGTGTTAGGGATGGAAAATAAACCAGAGGCAAAAAGGATTACATAGCAGTCTGAAGCTGTTCTTTAGTAAATGTACAACCAGTAAGCTACCCATCAACCTGAGTGAGTGATCACCCACAAGTTACAACTGACTGAGTTAAATAATTCAGTAAAAGTGAGCAAATGATTTAAATTCTTAAAAGTAAGGATGGATGGTTGAAATAGATGTATTTAATTATATCAGTAAAAGTACTGATATAATTATTAATTAAAAAATAGTTGACTAGTTAGCTAAATGTATGGATATACAAGTGAAATAGTTTGTTTCTGCCTCCAGTAGTATGTGTGCAAATGGCAAAGCAACCGAAACACTGAAAGATAAACTGTATGAAAAATATATTATCCACATTTGTATAATTAATAGTTAAAAACACCTTGTTTATAATCCATTAATAAGAACACATTTGGATTAAGACTGGTAATGTTGATGAAGGGGTACTTGAGTTCATCTGACAGGATTGTGGCGGTACATCGGACATAAAAAGGGTGAAAAAAAAAAAAGATTCTTCCTCAACAAATGGGTTCTGCTCAGTTGTCTTCTCTAACTCTATTAAAAAAAAACTGCACAGGCATTTATCTCTCTGCAATGTCTCATCTGGCATTTACAGAACATAACAAAACAGTTCTGCAGCGACATCTAGTGGCCAACTCTCCACTCGTCCTCGTCTGACACTAGAAAATGTTGCTGAAATACAATTAGAGCAGGGCTTCCCAAGCTTTCTCATGTGAAGGACCTCCACAGTAGATGCACATTAGACCACGGATCCTCAGCTTCAGAGCATTTTGTAGCAAGTAACTGAGCAATTTTGTTTATTTTTAGGTTTCAAAATTATAAAGTCTTCATAGTCAAATGTGTCACAATTGGAAAACAGCAAACACTATTTTATCCCCTTTAAAGTTTTCTAGGGACCACCTAAAACCCAGTCAAGGACCCCTTTTGGTCCCTGGACCCCAGTTTGAAAACCACCACATTAGAGAATAACTAATAATCCAAAAGGTCTCAGATATTTAATGTTTCAAAACAATATAAATGTAGAGCACAAAAGAAAACAAACACATTTACAGACAAACAAACAATAATAATAACATTTCTGACAGCAGCTGTCTGTCTGTCATCTACCATTCAGTGCTGACGAAGCCCCACAGCTGGTCGCTTACGTCG